TTCGACGTCGCAAGGGGAGCGCACGGGGGGGTCTCACACCGCGGCCGCTATACGTGCCAGTGTCGCAAGGCCTTGCAGGCGTGGCACTTTCTCGACGTCACGTGGGGGGGCGCAGGGGGTGGTCTCTCACCGCGGTCTCTATACGCGCCAATGTCGCAGGGCCTGGCAAGCGTGACACTTTTTCGACGTCACAGGGGGGGCGCTGAGGTTGGTCTCTAACCGCGGTCTCTACACGCGCCAATGTCGCAGGGCCTAGCAGGCGTCGACGTCAGACGGGGTGCGCACGGGGAGGTCTCTCACCGCGGTCTCTATACGCGCCAAAGTCGCAGGGCCTAGCCAACGTGGCACTATCTCGACATCAAAGGGGAGCGCACGGGGGGGTCTCACACCGCGGTCTCTATACGCGCCAATGTCGCAGGGCCTAGCAGGCGTGGCACTTTCTCGACGTCACAGGGGGGTCGCAGGGGTGGTCTCTCACCGCGGTCTCTATACGCGCCAATGTCGCAGGGCCTAGCAGGCGTGGCACTTTCTCGACGTCACAGGGAAGGCGCACGGGGTGGTCTCCCACCGCGGTCTCTATACGCGCCAATGTCGCAGGGCCTAGCAGGCGTGACACTTTCTTGACGTCAGATGGGGGTTCGCAGGGGTGGTCTCCCACCGCGGTCTCTATACGCGCCAATGTCGCAGGGCCTAGCAGGCGTGTTATCCAGTTTGCACAATTGCCTCAGGCAACAACTAAGCTACGAAGATGTCCAGGGCATGGATCACCGCGGCCGCTATGCGCGCCGGTCGTCCACGGCATAGCAGGCGTGGCACTTTCTCGACACGATAGAGGGTGCTCAGGGGGTCGGTGTCCCAGGGCCTGTGGACCCCCCCAGGGTACTCAGACTCCCAAGGCTTGACAGGCGCCACCAACGGGATCGGCGAAGCAACGGCCACCTGCATTCTCGCAAGTTTCACGTAAGCTATCACCACGCCAGACATATTATAAGTATGTGGGGTTCCTCGCCATCGAAATGTTCAATCCAGGCGTTTGCCCTCCATTCTGGCCTATGGGGCCCATTGTTGGGCCCAGGAGCCATCAACAGTTCATCCGGGCCGGGAAACTGACGCCGGGGAAAGGGTCCGGACCTCTGGGGCAGCACGCTGAACAAATTCTGCTTCGAGCGATCTCCACCGAAACCTTAAGCGTTAGTTCCCGACGGCGCGCGGTCGCCGAATTGGTCGTCCACTGCCGCTTCTGGATTCAAAAACGATTCATTCGAGCTCCATGTAGCTTCGTTAATTCATGGTTTGCTGTATTATGTCCTGTTCCGTCCTCAACGGGCCAGCGTGACGCCGTGACGCTTGCGACGATAGATGCGTCGTATGTTCTGATGCTCCATACGTTCTCTTACGATTGAATATGCTATGTTGTGCTCATCTCTGCCACCGTATGACATGATATGCCACTACATGATCTGATCCGTGGCACTCTGCTATGACGTGCTATGCAGTGTCAAAATGTGTTCCAGTATGCTATGCTTCGTGGTGTAAGTAACATGTCGGCCCAATACAAAATGAATTGCTCTGCTCTGCTAATGTGTGTTCCGCTAGGCTTTGCTGTCGTAGCATGATATGTGCTGTGTTGCTGTCATGGCGTGGTATGATATGTTATGTCATGGTATGTTATGGTATGCTCAGCTACGTTCTGCTATGGTGTGTTAAGTCGTATTATGTCCTGTCATGTTCTGCTCTGGTATGTTCTGTGATGCTCTGTATGTTGACGGGTCGGCCTTGTATGGCGTATGCTGATATACTCCGCTTGTATGTGTCGCTATGCTCTGCTGGCGTGGTATGATATGTCATGCGATGCTGTGCCCTGACATGGTATGTTATGCTGGTGTGTGAGCGTGTGTTTAATACTATGCTCGGTGTTGTTCTGCTTATGTTGTGTTCTGTCGTATTCTGTCATGTCATGTTCTGCTCTGGTATGTTATGCGATGTTATGATATGCGCTATTGTGTCATGACGTTGCTATGGTATGGTTACCATGGTATGTGATGTTCCTGTTATGTTGTGTCATTGTATGGTGTGTTATGTTGTGTTCTGTCTTGTTCGTCGTCGCTATGCTCTGCTGTCGAGGTATGGTCCTCTTGATGATGCTGTGTCATGATGTGATATGTTCCGTTTAGGTGTGTTATCTTATGCTCGGTTCTGTTGTTATGTTGTATTATGTCGTCTTATGTTCTGTTATGTTCTGATCTGGTATGGTCTGTGATGCTATGTTTGTTGACGGCTCGGCTCTGTATAGCATGATTGGCCCTGCTACTATGTGTCGCTACGACCGGCTGTCGTGGTGTGATGTGGTCTGTGATTATGTGACATGATCTGATTTGTTATGTGTAGTTGTCTTCTGTCATTCTCGATGGTGATATGTTATGGTGTGCTATGCTGTCTTCTGTTCGGTCATGTTCTGCTCTGGTATGGTAGGCGATGTTTCGTGATGCCCTATTATGACATGGCGTTGCTATGTTATACTCTGTAATGTTCTGCAATGCTCGTGTTCTGTTCTGTCATGGAATGTTGTCATGTTGTGATCTATCGTGCTCGTCGTTGCTATGCTCTGCTGTCGTGGTGTGATCACCCCTGTGATCCGGAGCTATGGTCTGCTATGTTCTGTCGAGGTGTGTCATGGTATGCTCAGCTATGTTCTGTGTTGTTGTGTTCTGTCGTCTTATGCTCTGTCACGTTCTGGTATCGTATGGTATGTGATGTGATGTTTGTTGACGAATCGGTTCTGTATCGTATATGATGGTCTGCTCTGCTAGTATGTGTCACTATGCTCTGCTGGCGTGCGATGATCTGCTATGTGATGTGATCAGTTTTGCAATGTCATGTTGTGTTCTGTCGTCGTCTGGTCTGTCATGTTCTGCTCTGGTATGTTCTGTAATGTTCTGTTATGCGCCATTTTGTCATGGCATTGCTATGTGATGTTCTGTCATGTTCTGTCATGCTCATGCTCTGAGATGTCAAATTATGTTGTGCAATGTTGTGTTCTGGCGTGGTCGTCGTTGCTGTGCTCTTCTGTCGTGTTCTGATATGTCATGCGATGCTGTGTCATGATCTGATATGTCCGGTTCAGGTGTGTTATTCCCCACCTAGGCTCTGCCTAGAAGGGTTTTTACTCTCTTAGCTTAAAGGGGCGGGCAGTGGAAAGCGCCCCGGGCGGTTCCCCCGGTCCCCGCCCCGCGGTTCCCCCAGTCGCGCCCCCTTAGCTTGGCTTAGCTTATCTCGTCTTAGCTTAGCTTGGCTTAGCTTAGCTTGGCTTAGCTTAGCGTGGCTTACCTTAGCTTAGCTTAGCTTAGCCTAGCTTAGCTTAGCCTAATGTAGCTTAGCTTAGCGTAGCATAGCATAGCATGGCATAACATAGCACAGCATAGCATAACATAGCACAGTATTGCATAGCATAGCCCCACGAGTGACCGAACGGGCTTAGCTTAGCTTAGCTTTAGCTTAGCTTTAGCTTAGCTTTAGCTTAGCTTTAGCTTCGCTTTAGCTTAGCTTTAGCTTCGCTTTAGCTCAGCTGTAGCTTAAGCTGCAGCTTAGCTTTAGCCTAGCTTTTGCTTAGCTTTAGCTTAGCTTCAGCTTAGCTTTAGCTTAGCTTTAGCTTAGACTTAGCTTAGCTTTAGCTCAGCGTTAGCTTTGCTATATCTTAGCTTTAGCTTTGTTTTAGCTCAGATTTAGCTTAGCTTTAGCTTAGCGTTAGCTTAGCTTCAGCTTTAGCTTAGCTTTAACTTAGCTTTAGCTTAGCTTTAGCTTCGCTGTAGCTTCGCTTTAGCTTAGTTTTGGCTCAGCTGTAGCTTAAGCTGCAGCTTAGCTTTAGCCTAGCTTTAGTTTAGCTTTAGCTTAGCTTCAGCTTAGCTTTAGCTTAGCTTTAGCTTAGACTTAGCTTAGCTTTAGCTCAGCGTTAGCTTTGCTATATCTTAGCTTTAGCTTTGCTTTAGCTTAGCTTTAGTTTAGCTTTAGCTTAGCTTTAGCTTTGCTATAGCTTAGCTTTACTGTCACTACTAATGCTGCTTCCCCAGGGGCTCCAACCCCTAGGTAGGGTCGCACTGGGATAATGTTATGCTCGATGATGTTATAGTATGTTATGGTATGCACTCTTCTGATATGGCCTGGTATGTTACGTGATGTTATGGGATGCTCTATGTTAACATGGCATGCATATGTTATGTACTGCCATGGTATGTCATGCTCGTATTGTAGTATGTCATGGTTTGCTGTGTCATGATGTGTTCTGTCGTGTTCGTCGTCGCTGTGCTCTGCTGCCGTATTATGGTACTTATGTTCTGGGATGGTGTGCCATGATGATATGGTATGTCTGGGTGTGGTATGCTATGCTCGGCTATGTTACGTTATGCTACGTTATGATATGTATGTTATGTCATGCTCTGCTCTGGCATGTTATGGGATGATATGTTATGCTCTACTTTGTCATGATATTGTTCTGCTCTGTTCTGTCATCCTCTGTTCCGAGGCGGGACACCCGTGGGGTCTGGAGTCCGCGGTATGCAAGGTGGGGATGGCGGGGCGCGAGGCGGGATTCTTGGGACCACCAGGATAACTTGGGGTCTGGCGGCCGCGGCATGCAAGGTGGGATTGGCTGGGCGCGAGGCGGGATACCCAAGACTACTGGGACAACTTGGGGTCTGGCGGCCGTGGTATGCAGGGTGGAGTTGGCCCGGGGGGCCGTTCTTGAAATCTAACAATCCCAACCTGTCGAGTGGAGGAAAAACATAGCGTCGGGTGTCTGGAACCCCCTCCAGCACAAGCTGGCGGCGCGAGCAAGGGGGTGGTGGGAGGCCTGCTGAGAAAGCAGGGGGCTTCTTAGAAGCCACCCTCAGGAGGAGGAAGGGTGAGAAAGAGGCAGAGAAAGGGAAGGAGGAGGAGGAGTACGAGAAGGGCGACAACAAAAGGGGGCAGAGGGAGACGACAGGAGAGGGGAGCAGGGGCCCGTCCCGCTTCTGCTGCAGGTTGCCCCTCGCCAGCCGCGGCAAGAACGCCATGACGACCAGCACGAGCATGGCTATCCGGGAGACGTAAGACTCGGGTTCGGGGGACTCGGGTTGGCCTGACGCGGCCATCATGAAAATGCCGAGACTCAATTTGAAAATTGATGCGAGCTCCCGCTGCTACCATCCCACGAAAACTGGACCGTCAAAATCCAGGACGCGCTGGTCAAAAAGCGTCGGCATACCCGAGTCTTGCGCCTCCCCGGGGCTAGCGCCACGGCGGAGGCCACGACGGCCGCTTCTGCGGCCCCTGGCCCGACTGGCGGCTCCCTGGACAGCGGCGCAGCGCCAATCGGCGCAGCCATGGGCGCGTGGGGGAGGCGTGAGGGGCCCAGGCCGCCTCGCGCTGCGACAAATCACGACGACAGGCTGTGGACAAGTTTCCCAAAAAAGACGAAACCAGGACGAGGACGCATTCGGGCGAGGAAGACTCGAGAAACTCTAGGGTCTGGCATCACTGGAAGATGTATCGGGCGCCGCGGTCTTCTCAAAGCGTTCGGGAACGCTCTGAGAGCGTCCCAGGACGCCCTGGAACGGATCGGTCTTCGTTCTGGCACAGTCCGAAGGAGCCCTGGCCGAACCACGGGGCCGTCAACACACGGCTCGGGGTGAAAAAGCCGCTCCTGGGGAGAGGTCCGGGCCTCTGGGGGTCCACGCTGTGCAAAAGCCACGACGCCAGGGAGTCTGGGGAGAGGGCACCGCCGACGGCCACTGCGGCTCGACTCGAGGAGAAACGGGGCCCATGGAGGAGGTCGGGCTCGCTCGTGGGCCGCCCGGAAGGCCGACGTGCGCGGGCGAAGGCGTTCTGTTTGGGCTGTTCTCGTCGAGACCTCGTGCGGCGGGAGGAGGGGGAAAGAGACTGGGGTTAAGAGAGGGTGGTGATGGGGAGGAGGCGTGACGCTGGCCGAAATGGAGGCGGAAGAGAAGGAGCAGGACGAGTGCATGAGGAGGCGGAGGAGGACGACGAGGAGGAGGAGGACGAGGAGGAGGAGGACGAGGAGGAGGAGGAACGCACGCGTCGGGGGTGGCGCCGAGGGTCCCGCCTACCCCAGGGCGAGCAGAAGCCCAGGGCCGCCGCGACGGCGGTGCTGCTTGAGATGAGCAGCGGTTCGCCGACCCAACCTCTGGCCCTCCTTTCTGGGCGCGAAACGCAAATCATGATAGGACTGAAAAAGCTAGTTCAACATAGAGGGCACAACATGCTAGCTCTTTCCTAGACGCGCAAAAGGCCCAGGGATATATGGCAGCCCTCTCCTTCCTCGAGGATTCCGGCAAGCGGGAAGGGAGTTCCAGGATTTGGCTAAGAAACTAAGCACAGTGGGGCATTCAGGGTAGTGAACGAAGGAATCGGATCTGGCGGCACGGCAGAAAAAAACTATCCAGGATAGGCCTTCGGAACCGAGCGGAACAACACCAGGTACTGGAAAAAGATTTCAGACGCGAAACGATAATAGAGCACGGAACTTGACTAGACAGACTCCTCAGGGTCATCAGAACACGATCGAAATCGACAGGATTCGAATAACCAGTGAGCTTCTTCGCGCGGAACAACATGGACGAAGCAACCTTTCGGTCTTACTCTGGATTCTGGAAGTGCCTGAAACAGGAACCGACATAATAACACAAATCTCTTCAACGTTGGACATGGGGACGAACATCGTTTGTCTGCTTCCATAAAGGGTGAGCCCTCCACGCAATGTGGCACTCGTCACTCTCGGCTATGGCGTGGATCTGCGTCCGCGCTTGAGAGAACTCCAGGGAGTTGCAGGCGAGCCTAGAGGGCAGCTCGCACGACAAGATCCAGACGGCGAACCTGGCATGGTAGGTCCAGCTCCTCAAGGTTCTCAAGCATGACAGGACTGATAGCGTTGCTGGGGCCTCCCACGAGGGCCTGACCAGCCGCACGCACGCACTCGAACACCACAGGAGCAAGAAAGAAGAACTGCGTTACACAGGATAGACAGCTGAAAGCATTCTGGTTGAAGACGGCGAACTTCTGGTAAAGACTCAGACTTTTGAAATCCCGAGGCCTGGCAAGACATTTCCGAGCGGGAGCGTCCCAAAACTTCAGAAACACATCCTTCCCAGTATAGATGCCGAAGTACTTGGCAGAGGCCCACTGTGAACTCCAAGGGCAGGCCAGCAGCGACCATAAGAGACACGTGCCTATCGGGAGCCAACATCTGCAGGGAGATGATGGATGTCTTAGCCAATGTTGAGTTCGAGACCAGCGGCGGTGAGGAGGAGGAGGAGGAGGCGGAGGAGGGGAAACGGTCAAGGATGAGGCGAATAAAAACGAAGGGGAGGAGGAGCAGGAGAACCCGGGACCCCGACCGCCCCTTCGAGGGCAATGCACTCAATCTTTTTCATGGCGGACTCGGGTGAATTTCCGTGCCCTCCGCTGACTGACCGACTGAAATGAACTGCGCTGAACTGACTGAGCTGGAAAATACTTTTGACAACACATTTCAAACCGCCCGCGGGCGCAACCGCAACCGCAACCAAACGACATATTTCAAGCCGCCCGCGGGCGCGACCACAACCGCAACCGCAACCGCAACCAAGCGACACATTTCATCCCGCCCGCGGGAGCACCCACAACCGCTGCCGCAACCAAGCGACACAAACGACGCATTTCAAACCGCCCGCGGGCGCAACCGCAACCGCAACCGCAACCAGGCGACACATTTCATCCCGCCCGCGGGAGCAACCGCCCAAGGAGCACATGAGCATGAGGAAGAGGAGGAGGAGGAGGAGGAGGAGGAGGAGGGAGAGCAGTACAAACCCAAGACTCATCAACGATGTTAGAATACACCATCCCCCCAAGCTCTTTTTTTCACAAGCCCCTACAAATATTCATTTCCACTGAAAGAAGTGCCCCGTTGGGGGGCAACCGTACGGAAGTCCTGAAGCGTGCCAAAACACTGTTCTCAAGACACCAGCGCCACGAATCAGTCTCACTGCTGCGACTTGACAACCCTGACTCGCGCCAGATTGCAATCCTTGGGGCTTCAATACCGGCTGCGCCCTGACAGTCCTGAATAGTTTCAAAACGCAGTCTCTGATACGCTGACCATGAGAATGCGTGCAACTCGTGCGTTTTTGGGGGCAACTGAGCGCGCCGCTACGGCGAGAGCCACATTTTGAACAGGAGCTACCATCAACCCATGAAACGTTTGAAAGCGGCCCGCCCTCCATCCGTTGAGTTCAAATCGAATGTGCGAGGTGCTGAAACGAGAGCCACATTTTGAAAACTGCCCATCCTCAATTCGTGAAGCTCTTGCAGCTTTGGTAAGACGATGTGCGCGGCGCTGAGGCGAGAGCCACATAAAAAACGTCCTCCATCTGTGAAGCTGTTGTCAGCTTCTCATCTTCACGTTCATCACTGGTAAAAAGTCGCAGGCGAAACGCCCAGCCTGCCCTTCCGACTGGCCTTGGGGTACGACAGGGAGGTGTTTTTTTCAGAAGGAGAGAAATGGAAAAGGAGGAAGAGAGGGAGCGGGAAGAGGAGGATGGGCAAGTGAAAGGAGGAAACCCAACTTCACGATAGGAACATGGAGGGCATGGACGATGAGAAGGAGGAGGAGGCCGATGAGGATTTTTTTTTGGGGTCGACCCATGATCAGCCACATGACTCCGCTGGCGTGGCGAGTGCCAGCGAGAAGAAGAGACAGGAGCGCAGCGGTGAAGGCACATCACTGCGCAGCAGCACGGCTCGGGCTGTCCACTATACAAGGACAGCAGACTGGGCGGCGAGGAAGAGCTATACAACCTGCAGCCGCCACCCGAGCAGGGTGCAACACGGGAGCCCACCGAAGGGGTCGTGATGCAGAGACCCAGGAAGCAACTACAGAGCAGAGTAGGCGGCGCCACACTCTACAGGCAGCAGCAAACGGATCCAGGAGCAGCAGACAGGAGGACCGATCGATCCACCCCGCACTCCAGGAAAGACACGGACCCACTGTACAGGGTAGTGCGGACAGTGCACGGGAGCGTGCAGGTGAAACACGAACACGCCTCGAAAAAAAAACGAGAGAGGGCCCTCATCCAACAAGGGGCGCTCTCCGCGCCGTGCGCGGGGCAGGGGAGCAACGGTGCGAGGGTCACTAACGGCGCAACGCCGGGCAGTCCCCACTCGCTCCGCGCCCCCCGCCCGCACCCGCCCACTATTCAGGTGCCTCGGGCTCGGGCGCCTGCTGAGCATCGCAGGCACCCCGAGCTCCGAGAAAACAAGCGGCTCGAGGGGCTCGCCCGCCTTGGGATGCAGGCCCCTTCGAGCCAGCTCGAGCATCGACGCGATGGAGGCCAAGACAGCCCGCTGCACTTAAGGGGCCCTTAAGTGCAGCGGATCTGCTCCTGAGGAAACAAGGTACAGGCAACAAGCGAGCCGCGGCAGCTGCTTGCAGCAAACTAATTGGCAGGGAAGATTTAACGTGTTACAGTCAGCCCGTGGCCGACTAGCCTTGCCAGCCGTGCTGGCGAAAGTTCCTGACCAAATTTTTCAACAAGCATCCAGCGCAACATGGGGAGGAGGATAAACGAGGACGCCGCCGCAAGCGTCCTCGCAAACGAAGTGCCTAAGACTGCCCGCTGTGCCGCCGTCACCACAAGGAGCCTTCACCCCGTGGCCGCGCAGCAGCGAGCAAGGGCCGTGCAACAGCAGTGGCGTGAAAGTGAACCGCATCACACACCCTGAGCAAAGGCACAATTAAACCTGACAAAACGTATTGACATCCACCCGCACTCCTGGTTTATTGTATGACGGGTGGAGGCCCTTTTGGAGACGACTCCAAGGATTACAATGCGAGGCCCGTTTCGAAGGCTCACACTTCTTACCTAGGCGATCAAGCCGGCCCCCCGACGTGTAATAACCACATTTGTGGCAAATGCAAACGAAACTACCATCCGTACAGTCTATGAGCACACATCTATGCCCTAGATCACGAAGTACTGACGGGTGCACATGCAAAGCGAGCGAGCATGACCCACCAGGAGGTTCGACGCCAAACGTGCCACGACGACCACGCAAGCACGTAGCACATTGCCAATACGAGCCTACCCAATGCCATTCATGTGAAGGTTTCGCAGGAGCCTGCTCTTTAGCAGGTGGCTTGATTCGCTCTAAATCTTTGCCCAAGTCTAATCTAGGCCACAAGGACATTAATCTAGCACCCAAACGTCCTACAGCTCGGGCCACGGCCACGGAAAGATCCAGGCCCTCACGCAACTCGTCCGACGGGGCAGGATGCAAGGATGCCGCAACCTTGGCCGAGGTATCAGCCCACGCATTGCCTTGTCTTAAATA